TTCAAAATACTTTGTTGCCACAAAATTTTAGATGAATTTTAACAGCATTGAAGTTCTTCATTAAACGTTTCATTGTCGATTACAAAATATAAAAGAATTTTGAGCTAATAAAAAGTATCAATCTATGTTTTTCTTTATATTCACTGAATGCAACATGTGAATTTTAATTGCCGATTCACAGGAAAAACTAACTATTTCAAGTACTTGAAGTGTCTTTTTATCAAAATAAAGTTATATTTCTGAGTGAAATGACAACCGTTGTCATTTAAGAATTATGCTTTCGACCGACATTCTTGAGCATTATATTTTCTTCTTGTACAACGACGATTATCGCAATTACTCTTGCAGTTGCAACGTATAATTGAAAAAAAAATGCTTTGTGGCGGGGGTTGCTTTTTTTGAGCTCACATGGCCCAAAGGGCCAAGTGATCTTTTCTCATCACTTTGCGTCCGTCGTCGTCCAAAAACAAAAATCTTCTCCTCTGAAACTACTGAGCCAAATACAACCAAACCTGGCCTGAATCATCCTTAGGGTATCTAGTTTAAAAAATGTATCCGATGACGCCAGCCATTATCCAAGATGACTGCCATGACTAAAAAAAGAACATAAGGTAAAATACAGTTTTTTGGCTTATATCTCTGAAACTGCTGGGCCTAATAGAATTAAACTTGGCTACAATTTTCTATAGGGTATCTTGATTGAAACATGTATCCAATGACCCTGTCATTTCACCAATATGGAAGCCATGGCTAAAATTTCAACATAGGGGTTTACTATAGAAGTCTAAGGAAAAATTAAAAACAAATATTTCAAATGGTCACAACTAAAAAACTAATCTAACTAATGATAAGGGGTGTTCATTATCTATTGTAAGACGACAATGGGATGACCTGCTTTTACTTTGGGTAAAAAAAACCCAAACTTGTCCTTAATCATTATTAGGGTATATAATACTATTAATAATGATTTTAACCTTATTTTACTTGATTTCCAAAACAACATTTAACATAAGTGAGCGACACAGGCTCTTGAGAGCCTCTAGTTTGGAAAATTATCGGCATAAGTGATCCATTTACAACCGACATTACAAGGATCTATCGCTTCTACTCAAGTCAATTCCTTTTCGCTAAAATAAACATAAAGCACTTATGTACCAAAGAAATAGACTTTATAAAACTTGAAGTACCGAGTCATCTCCCTGATATTGATTTACAATCATTATGTATAAAAAGTACATATTTCGCAATACATTATGTAATGTTGCCTGTCAATTGATTTTTTGTTAACCTGATATATCTGGATATTTATCAGGCTCAAATAAAGACACCATATTAAATATGTCATTGCCGTACGTATTCTTCTGACCCTTTGAGTGACATTCAATATTTCTAGTTTTTTTTTTCTTCACTTTTACTATTGATCATAATTGAAGTTCATTTTCATTTTTATAACCAATTACTATGAATTCGTAGTTGCAATCACGATCAGTAGTCCTGTGATATTGAGTTGTACTTGAAAGGCCAATATACGAGTTTCACCAACATCGACACCAAAATGAATTATATTCGCGTTTTTATAACAAATGTGTATAATTGATCTGCTTACAATGCATTTATAAAACAGATAAAACACAAACGACCGCCAAAAAGTATAAATATTTTTTATCTAGTTGCTTGTGTTTTACCGATTTCAGAGAAATGGTAGTCATTAGGGCATTTATTCAATTACATAAAAGCCATCAGGAAAGTATTATTTTGAATTTTATATAGACCTGCATTTCATACGTTTAAAATTAAAAACCAAACACTAATTGAATCATCCATATATTCAAAACAGCCAATTAACAAGGCCAAATAATCCCAAGACAGTATATTCCAATTGGTATTAAAACGAAGTTAGAAAGATATAAACCATAGTCCAATGCATCGTACTCTTTATCTTCTGAATAAACCTAGACAGTGCGGGTGACATTAACAACTTGAATATAATCTTTATTCAGGTTTAAAGTCAAGAAAACAATGGTGAAGACATCATGTGTAATCAAAATTTGACGTTTGCTGGAGTAGTTTCAGATGTATGAGAATAAATTTCGTTCAGATTATTGTTAAAAAGCTGTATTAAAATAAATATTCAAAATAAGGTAATAAACATTTCTGCACATATGTTTTTTATTCTATACCTGTTACGTTTGGTATTGTTCCTATGCTTTAAAATTCAATGTTTCTTTTTATGTCAACAGGAATCCTGTTCTATTTTTCAGGATTTATTGGATAGATATTTCGAAGACGAAAGAATAGAAGCAACGTGTTGCAATGGTGTAAACAGATGGAGGCATATTCGTTTAATTAATCTTCCTTCAGATCTTTCAATCTGTTTGGTGCGCCACACTTCAATAAACAACATAGCAACAAAGAACCGCAAACCAATATCCATCGACCGAATATTGAATATGGGAAAATACATGACTACACAAACGGATCTTTTATACAGGCTTACTGGTGTTGTGATTCACAATGGAACTAGTCCCCGAAATGGACATTATACATTTGTCAAGACAGATGGAGGTACTCAAATACAGATCAATGATTGCTCATTTAAAGTTTATAATGGAGCTAATCTCTTGACAGACTCATACCTACTGCAGTACGAACAGATTCCAGATGATGAAGACATTTGCCACCCCTACCTACCAGATGTAATAATGTCCATATTGGAGTGTAAAGGCTGGGCAAAATTTCAAGACACCATTAAATTCTCCGTCGGTCTAAGCGTTCGAAAAAATATGCTTTTTCAACTAATGCAACAAATTACGATTACGGAACAGTTACAGATACACTCTTGGAAAGCATATAAACTAATCCAAGAAGTTACTGGTTCGGTTGATAACGCTACCATTGCAGACATTGCAAAAGCAGTTTTAACATATTTTTCCAACAACTGTCCAGCAGCACTGTATGAAAACTTTGGAATAACTAGCTTAAGAAACTACTATTGCAGTAAATGTGACAATACAGGTACATATTGTGAGCAACACTTGGTACATGACTATCAAATGCTAAATAACCCGGTAAATACATCCGTTACTTCCCACCAACAAGCAGTTTGCAATAAATGTGGAGAACAGTCCTTAACTGAAGAAGATTACGTGATAAATCGTTCCAGTACAATGATTGTGAAGGACTGCCTCGACATGTTGAAACCTGATCAGTTGGAATCACTTATGTCTTCGTTTAATCCTAGAGCAATTATCTCAAATTCAGGAACAGTTATATTCAAATATAATTTGGACCACGTGCAGATATTGTTGATAGAAACATATGGAACAATTTGCAAAATAAGTGTTAGTCAAGTGTACGAAGCAGTTTGTAGTACCAATCAATGTTTACTTTTTCTAGAAGAAAACACAAAACAGTCAGTGAATAAACCAGAAACCAGAAAGTATGCACTTGTAAAGGAACAAGAAATATGTAGAAATGATTGCAATCCATTATCAATTTTGCTCTCCGAAGATGAGAAATCCATAATCAAAAAATTCAAAGCGCCGGTTTGTTTTGGGTCCCTTCATTTAAGTACAGAAGATGTCAACAGATTTCTGCTGGACGACTTTTCTGATCTGAACATTGATGCCTTTTTTGAAACTTTGAAGTCGAAATCTGAAAATCACATGTTTCTGCCTGCTGTATGGTATGACGCCACGTTTTCATCAACTTTCGTGAGGAAACCAGATACTTCCAAATTTTGGTTGAACAAAGATTTAATTTTTGTACCTGCCAATGTTAATAGTAATCACTGGGTACTACTTGTCATCAAACCCAAGGAGAGAAATATATACTATCTGGATCCGCTTGGAAAAGACCCTAATAATGATGTCTTAGATCTCTTTTGTAAATTTCTAAACAATCAAATATTACTGGAACATTTCGGGAGCCATCTAACGCTATGGAATGTGGAAAACCAGATGAATACTGGAATATTTCCACGTCAGACAGATTCAACATCATGTGGACCCTTGATATGCCTGTATGGGAAGATGGTACAGGAAGAAAAGAGATTAATGGAATACAACGTTTCTCCTGTACAGATCAGGCAGTATATATTCAAAGAAGTGATTCATATTTACAAAACTGATTTAAACAACGATCTTTCATTTGGTCTGAAAAATGTTATCTTTACTGAAGATTTGGATGCAGTTATCCACAACATTGTTACGGGAACACACGTATGTAACGATTTGCATAACAACTTTTTAAAGAGTCCATGCACTATGAAGCGACAGGATTTAATAGGATTCGCAGATGATTATCTCTCCCGAGATGTTTATTATTCAATCCAAATTTACCTAACTGACACGTACTTCCAGCATGTTAAACGTCCATTAAAAATACCATATCAGCAATCGATATTCTCTGATGCAGAGCAACTGAACATCAAACTACAGCAAAATGTCATGTACACAAACTGGTACGTTGAATGTGTTTTGGCAAAGGAGGTCATTTCAGAGATACTTGGACGATTTCAAAACTTATCAACTGTTGAAATGAGACAAATCTGCTCAAATACAGAATTTTCCAGCACAAAAGCCATAAAGGAAGAAATCCAAAGTTTTAGACAAGCTAGAAAGAATTTGAAGATGTAATCATTCAAGAGTGATAAAATGTACGCGCAACTTCAGCATATTATTTGCTTTGTTCTAATTACATATATGAAAACAATTTATGTATAATTGTAATAACTTTGTATTGTATCACATCTTGAATATTATGGTGTTCATAATTGATGATTGTGGTGCTGTAACTTCATGTGATCTTGAGATATATTGACAATGACGATTTTTTTAATGCTGGTGATTGTGTCGCCTTTGAGGCTGATATATTCAGAAATGGTTTTTAAATGATGTGTTCTTTTCGATCGCAATACAATGGTTAATGTAAATGGTGTTGTGGATAACTGCACTGATAATGCTGACTGTACTGACGAATGAAGAAATGGGTAAATACAGAAATCGAAGAAATGATAGGTACTCCGTTGTTGGAGATGACAATGTAAATGATGATGATAATAATTATGATGGTGAAGGAAACGGTGATGCTGGTAATGCCAAAAGTGATGTTAATGATTATGAATGAAGTTAATTTTAATTCATGGTGTTGAACATATGGTGATAGTGAGGGACTGAGCATACTGACAGTGTAGTGAGTTTTAATAATAGTGATGTAAATGATAATGATGGTAGTACAGTTTGGTTGATGGTGCTCAGCATGATCATGCTGAAATAAAATTGTAATTACCAACAGTGACGTTGATGATTATGATGGTAGTATACTATAGTTGATAGTGCTGAAAATACTGACAGTGAAGTAAGGTGTTAAATACCAACAGTGATGCTAATGATTATTATGGTACTACATACTGGTTGATGGTTGTTCATATAATGACGGTTAAGTAACGTTTTTAATACCAACAGTGATGTAATTGATTATGATGATAGTATATTATGGTTGATGATGCTGAACATGATGATGGTGAAGTGACGTTTTAATAACGAACAGTGACGTTAATGATTATGATGGTAGTATATTATGGTTGATGGTGCTGAACATGATGATTGTGAAGTGACGTTTTCATTACGAACAGTGACGTAGATGATTATGATGGTAGTATATAATGGTTGATGGTGCTGAACATGATGATGGTGAAGTGAAGTTTTAATTATGAATAGTGACGTTAATGATTATGATGGTAGTATATTATGGTTGATGGTGCTGAACATGATGATGGTGAAGTGACATTTTCATTACGAACAGTAATGTGAATGGTTATGATGTTAGTACATAATGATGGATGGTGCTTAGCATGATCATGGTGAAGTAAGGTTTTAATTACAAATATTGATGTTAATGATTATGCAATGAATTACTGTTTTGTTGATGGTGTTAAAGCTAATGATGTTATAGTCAAGTTTTAATTGCCATTACTGATGTTAATAACTTTAATGTAAGTAAATCATGGTTGTTTATGTAGAACTTGATGCTGGTGAAGTAATATTTTGATTGTTGATATTGATGTTAAGGATGATGAAGGAAGTGCATGTGTGAATATGGTGATAATGATTATGATATTGTTTACAAAGAGAAGGAGGAGAAGGAGGACGAATATTGACGAGGATTTCTATGATAATGATGATTAATGAAATGAAGGCGATGTTGAAGTTGATACTCAAGATGATACAGAGAAATTTGATTGTTGTGACTAAGAAAATATACTTTAGTAAGTTGTAGGATGAAAAGGAAATGTTAAGGAAAATAATGAACATTTAAAGTACAGTGACGATGATGGATATGGTGACAATTTTTGTTATAGTGATGATTTGTATGATGCTTGTGATGATTCTAGTTATGATAAAAGTGAATGTGTTTTGTTTAATACATTGATATTGTTTATTGTTTATGATATAAATATTGTGATTGTAGTATAGTTAAGAGTTTTGATGAATGTATTGATATGATATGTAATGATGGCAATATATTCCTAAGGATGGTAAAGGAAACATTGTACGGTGCTTATTATAAGTTCGAGGGAATGATGTTTACAGTATCTGCGATGCTATTTTATAGTTTTCAATGATGATAAAAATGTTGATGACAGAGAGGAATTTGATGATTGTAATTGTAGTGATGATGCTGCTAGCTATATATAGTATAGTGATAATCATTCTAATGATGATGTTGAATGTGCTTCTGATATATAATATAAAACTCGGTATATTGTTGATGATAATAATGTTAAATACCTTTTATAGACAATGTAATTTATTTTGATATCGATAGGAAAATTACGGGGTCATGGTTGTATGTAGACATATGGTACGAACATGCATCACATATTCTTATTTTTCTTGGTAAAGATTAACAATATTGTACATAATTTTAAGAATAAAAAAGGATTTTTAAAAATACATATAGTCTTCTGTAAAATAAGGACCATTACATAAACAACTAATCGTTGAGTAGAGGATAAAGATACCAGAGTGATATTTAAACTTTGACAAAAGTCGAAAACAAACTAATAATGCATGGCAAAAAGACACAACCAAATGTCTACAAAAATACAAGATAGGAATCAAGACACTGTATATGATGTATCCCTACCAAGACAATTAACGGTTCAGTTGTCTTGTTTCAAGTAAAATTACAGAATGTGGAATTTCTGGAACACTTTACAATGTTTTGCCATTATAAGAGCTAATATACTACAACTAAAACCACTTGTAAAACCACATTTATGCTTCATGAACAGATGTTTATGATTTTCTGTATTTATAGACCTTTTTAAGATTTTGAACCAGTTTGTGGAAACGACATGTTTTACCAAATACCGAATACATATTTTTCCGTTGAACTTAATAATGAAAAGCGTTTTTGGCACTTAGTGTCATTTCCATTTTCATACCCCACAAAAAAACCCGAAAAATACTGCAATACTTAATCAAGTAAATAAGGGTGATTTATTAGTCATTTCAACCCAATTCATCCTTTACTTCATTATCGTTAAAACAACAATAGAATTTCAATAAATAGGAAAACGACCTTTGCAGACGTCCGGCGCTTAGGACATGCGTATGCATGTACATGGAACATTTACAGTGTTCATTTTCCTATAAACTCAGGTATTCCCAATTTAATCGCCACCGGCAAAAACATATATTCAAGTGGATAGTGTGCAGCATAACATTCAGCACCCTTTTCCAAATTGTTTACAATTTGGACATACAAATATCCGCAATAATAGAAGTGCTCGAAAATTTTAGATCTGTCATATTCTTCATTCTTGTGTGTATATATATATATATATGGTAGTATGACTGTCAATACGACAACTGTCCATAAGTATCCAGATTATGTGAATTCACTCAACGATAGATCATACTACTGCCTTCAGCAGTTAGAAAAAAAAAATATATGTAAAGTTAGCAACAACAAATAGCAAAGATGGCTGCCTAACGAACCATACCTTTATCTATTGATTCCCAGATGTTAATTCCATATTCATCCTCATAAAGACAACATGTGACAATCTGACTAGATATACAATTAGATATGGGTCAATCGTTAAGTGCAATCAAACGGTATGAGAAGTTCTTCGGATCAAAATGAGTCCGCACAGCCCTGTGCAAATAATAGAAATTAAAGTGAACAGTCAATTTTTACAGCAGTGTGTCGATACCTCTGGTATCAGTCCCAAAGGATGTCATTAGCTCGGTAGTCAAAATACAAAAAAAATTAAATAAAATGATTTTTTAAATTAAAAAGAAACTGATGTTTGAAGTTTGTAAGTTATGTTGACCTTAGACATGTTAGATGTATTCGGCAATTATGACCGATCAGTTTTACTAAAATCAAGTTTACAGACTAGAAAATATCTTAAAATCTCTCAGAATATATCTTCACCTCATTTGAATACTTATGCGGTAACGTATACCTGAAGACTTCACTGGCCATCCAAAGTCTAAGGTACCTATCAGTAATGGGTAGGGGCTCATTTTTCAGTCTTTCTATACAGTTCCCTACGGCAAAGCTTTTATCCACACCTAGTGGGATTGAAAGCTTGTTCCAGGCCCTTTAATTCCTGAAAATGCCCGGGTGGGAAAGTGCACCAGAAGCTGACAACCACATACCCAATTTCGAATTTTTGTCCATTACGGCTGGTGGCAGCTGTCGCTTTACTCTCACTTCCCTACGGCAAAGTTCTTGACCACAGGTGGTTAGATTGAAAGCTATTACCCATATCTTCAACTGGTATGAATACCTGGGTGGGAAAGTGCACCTGAAGACTTCACTGGTCATCCAAAGTCTAAGGTACCTATCAGTAATGGGTAGGGGCTCATTTTTCAGTCTTTCTATACAGTTCCCTACGGCAAAGCTTTTATCCACACCTAGTGGGATTGAAAGCTTGTTCCAGGCCCTTTAATTCCTGAAAATGCCCGGGTGGGAAAGTGCACCAGAAGCTGACAACCACATACCCAATTTCGAATTTTTGTCCATTACGGCTGGTGGCAGCTGTCGCTTTACTCTCACTTCCCTACGGCAAAGTTCTTGACCACAGGTGGTTAGATTGAAAGCTATTACCCATATCTTCAACTGGTATGAATACCTGGGTGGGAAAGTGCACCTGAAGACTTCACTGGTCATCCAAAGTCTAAGGTACCTATCAGTAATGGGTAGGGGCTCATTTTTCAGTCTTTCTATACAGTTCCCTACGGCAAAGCTTTTATCCACACCTAGTGGGATTGAAAGCTTGTTCCAGGCCCTTTAATTCCTGAAAATGCCCGGGTGGGAAAGTGCACCAGAAGCTGACAACCACATACCCAATTTCGAATTTTTGTCCATTACGGCTGGTGGCAGCTGTCGCTTTACTCTCACTTCCCTACGGCAAAGTTCTTGACCACAGGTGGTTAGATTGAAAGCTATTACCCATATCTTCAACTGGTATGAATACCTGGGTGGGAAAGTGCACCTGAAGACTTCACTGGTCATCCAAAGTCTAAGGTACCTATCAGTAATGGGTAGGGGCTCATTTTTCAGTCTTTCTATACAGTTCCCTACGGCAAAGCTTTTATCCACACCTAGTGGGATTGAAAGCTTGTTCCAGGCCCTTTAATTCCTGAAAATGCCCGGGTGGGAAAGTGCACCAGAAGCTGACAACCACATACCCAATTTCGAATTTTTGTCCATTACGGCTGGTGGCAGCTGTCGCTTTACTCTCACTTCCCTACGGCAAAGTTCTTGACCACAGGTGGTTAGATTGAAAGCTATTACCCATATCTTCAACTGGTATGAATACCTGGGTGGGAGAGTGCACCTGAAGACTTCACTGGTCATCCAAAGTCTAAGGTACCTATCAGTAATGGGTAGGGGCTCATTTTTCAGTCTTTCTATACAGTTCCCTACGGCAAAGCTTTTATCCACACCTAGTGGGATTGAAAGCTTGTTCCAGGCCCTTTAATTCCTGAAAATGCCCGGGTGGGAAAGTGCACCAGAAGCTGACAACCACATACCCAATTTCGAATTTTTGTCCATTACGGCTGGTGGCAGCTGTCGCTTTACTCTCACTTCCCTACGGCAAAGTT